CTCGGGACAACACTGCACCAGAGCCGTCAGCCCCACTCCTCAGAGGAGGAAGCAGAGGCTCAAAGTGGGCCACAAGTTTCGGAGTCCCTAGGGATACCTGTACGGTCTCTGACATGCTCTCCTGCCTCTCCGGGGTTGCCGGGCAGCCCAGGAGCCCCTGGCATGGGCAGGACTGAAGGCCTGTCTCGGGGGTAGCACTCCTGGGTCAAGGCTGATGAGAGGCAGGCAGCCTCTGCGGGCAGCAGGCTGGGAACTTGGTGGGAGCGGGGAGGGGGGGGGCGCTGGCGACGGGGCCCACACATCAGTGCTCTGGAGAATTTTTTCTCAAGTGATTAAAAGGTGCAAACTTGTCTGTGTTTTGATGAACTGAAGTGTGAATCCTGACCCGCCTCTGTTGGCTCTCAGACTCAGTCTGAGGCAGGAGTGTGGCTTTGGCTAGAGACAACGCCAGTTAGCACTTCCCCCAGACCCAGCCTGCCCCTCACTATGCCCACCATGCCCGCTGCCCAGCTTGGGAATGTTGGCAGGAGGCAGACACGCCTGGCCTGGGAGAGAAGGACTCCGGGGTGCTACAGGGTCTTCTGTGGGGACACAGCTTGGGCGCCAAGTGTCCCAGAGCAGAAACCCCAGCCCTGCCCCTAGCTTGGCCTAGAAGCCCAGTGCCCATGTGGGCAGCTGGGCACGGGGCCTCTTTCTGTCCTTCCCTTCATTTCCTTTGCCCTTGGACACACAAGTGGCTGGACTGCTTCCTGCCTCTACCTTGGGTAGCTCTGAGAAACTCCTGGGGCCTGTCTTTCTGGGGACACTGGCAGGCTCTGATTGGTGACTTGCTCTGCGTTTCACAGTCGTTGGTCTTGAACACCAGCTGCTTGTCAGTCAAAGGTCATCTCCCCAAGGAGAGGTCCTGGGCACAGGTGGGCCTCGGCTGTAGCCTACCCTGGACATCGGTTCTCGTCGAGGATCCAGTTAGCTCTGGGTCACAGTTCTTCACTGTGGCTCTGAGGGACGGTCTAGGCATGTGCTAGTTAGACCATGTCAGGGCGATGGCCCTGTGGGTAGACGTGACTTTGAACCTATTGGTCCATCCATCTGTTTTTTGGGCCTGCCGTGGGCCAGGCACCAACCTGGCTCTGGGGATGTGGTGGGAGCCAGGCTGATGGGGAGGGCTGGGGACATCCGTGGGAGGGTATAAGACTATGCCACTGACGTGGAGATTTCAAAGGGTGTGCTGTTCTAGGTGGTTCTGTTTTCAAAGGATGAGGGAGCATTAGTCTGCGAGTGGAAGAGATTGCACATACTGGGAATGGGGCATGAAGGTCCAAAGGTCCAGGGAAGGAAGCAGGGCTGGACCCTAAGTACTTGGACTTGGGCCAAGGAAGGGCTGGGCAGGGGTGTGGGCCAGAGGCTGAGGCAGGAGTGGGCTTAGCAAATCTCGTGGGTGGGAGCTGGAGGTGGCATCCAATCCTGTGCTTGGGAAGGGTGGGGGTGGGGTGGGGGAGTTCGGCCTGGAGGAGGGCAACCAGCTGGATGCCCAAGGCGAGGTGGGGGGGGGCAAGGGGTGGGACTCTCCCCAGACTGGGTCTCTCCCTGCAGGACACACCCAGGACTTGAGATGAAGTTGGTCCTGGGAAAGGGCTTTGGGGGGGGGGGGCGGGCTGTCCTGATGTGTAATAGTTTCCTAGGGCTGCACTAACAAAGTCCCATACCTGGGATCTTCAAACGACAGATGTTTACTCTCCCAGAGTCCTGGAGCCCCAAAGTCTCAGATCCAGGTGTCACCAGGACCATGCTGTCTCCCCAGGCTCTGGAGGAGGGCCCTTCCTTCCTTGCCGTTTCCATCTCCTGGTAGCTGGGGGCATCTGTGGCGTCTCTGGCTTATGCCCCCCCTCGCCTCAGTCTGCCCCTTGGGCTTCATATGATCTTCTCTATCTGCTCTTCTCAGAAGGACACGTGCCGTTGGATTGAGGGCACTTCTGGCTAATCCAGGATGAGATTCTTAATGACATACACAAAGGTCCCTTTTCCAAATAAGGCCACATTCACAGTGTCTGGAGGCTAAGACTTCGACACAGCTCTTTGGGGACCCCCATGTAGCCCATTACACCAGGTGACCCCAGCATGGCCCTGCCCTCCACACCACCCACTCCCTCCACCTGGTACACCATCGTGGCTGCCTTCTCTGGAAGGCAGCTTTCAGCCCCAGGTATGGAGAGAAGGGAGAGGCCAGAAAGAGGAGTGGGTGTGTGGCTGGGGGTCCAAGGGCTGGCTCTGGGCAGACCCAGGCCCTGCAGGGGGAGCTGATACAAAGCATCTTATTTTGAGATCTTGAGGTTTTTCCCAGTATGGTCGCCAGCCACCGTTCCCTGAGCCCAGCAGGCCCTCCTTGACACCTTCAGTGCCTGAAATGCCCCAGTGGCAGGTGGCAGGCGGGCCCCGGGGCGGGCACGGGGGCCCAGGGTGCCTACAGGAGAGCAGGGGTTAGGGTTCCTGGGGACGTGGTCCCATTCCTCGCACCTCCGTTGTCTGCAGTCAGCCTGGCCGGTGCCATCCTCCCGAGCGGCCATGTCCTCGTGAGCAGCGTGGGTCTGGCCCCGTCCTCCTGAACAGTCATGTCCTCGTGAGCAGTGTGGGTGCAGAGAGGACCAGCCTCGTGGCCGTGAGCACAGCGCTGAGGCCAACTCCATGCCCAGCTGCAGAGGGGCTGTGGTGTTGGGCGTTGGCCTTGCCCCTGAGCAGACTGAGGACCCCAGGAACCCAGACTGAAAGCTCTCCCTGTCTCTTCCTTTTTCAGGCTGACCCTTGGCCCCTGCCTGGCCCTGCTGGCTGGCTCCCACCCACCGTGGTAAGTCCTAAGTCTGGGGAGGTGGAGGGGTCCCCAAGACAGCACTTTGAGGGGCTTGCCCTTGGGAGGGGAGGAGCTGCAATTTAGGGAGGGCGGGGTAGAAGACAGAGCCGTCTGATGCGGGGATCCCAGCCCTGCCCCAGCCCCACTTGTGTTGCTGCTTGGATGCTGGTGTGCGATCAGTTCCATGGCTGTTTCTACACCCTGTAAAAGGTCATGGCGCTGCCATTAGTGGAGAGCGCTCTGTTTTCAGGAATAGAGATGATAGCCTGATTTGCTGCAAGGTCAAGTGCTGCCTCAGGAGGTAGGAGGGCAGGCGGGGAAACTGAGGCCCAGGGAAGAGGTGGAGCAGCCCAGAACTCTGACCTCAGGCTCCCATAGGGAAACTAAGCCTGGAGAAGGGGCCAACATGGATCTGACCCCCATGGGGACACCAGCTGCTGCCTTGACCTCAGGCCTTCTCATCCATCCCTCCTTCTGTCCAGTGAGGGCCAGTACATCCCAGGGAGAGCTGGCTGGCTCCTGGTTCTTGTCCTGGCCAGTTCTCACCCCCACGCCTGTCCCCAGTCTCCCTGGGCCTCAGCCACCTTGTTGCCCACCCTGGATGTTGCTCTGAGCCCTTGTCCTGTCTTTGACTTCCTCCCCCCAGTCCCTCCCAGCAAACTTCACCTCCTCTGTCAGACCTGCCTGCCCCCCCAGAGTCATCCCCTGATCTACCTGCTGGGCCTGCCACCGTCTCTCCACCCCATAGCCCCTAGAGGCCCTCACCCCAGCCCAGAACTGCTGCCCTGCCTTGTCCTGGCTGGATCATGACCCAGGGGCTTCTCACCTGCTACTTTATCTTAGCCCTCAGCACCCATTGCCCAGACGGAGAAACAGGCTCAGAGGGGCTAAGTAGGTTGAGGCCACATGGCCGGCATGGGATAGAGGTAGCTGAGTGTCCAGTGTGTCTTGCTCTGAGGTCCTCTCTCCTCCCTGGGCAGACTGCAAAGGGGAACAAGGGGAAGAAGCCCACCTCTAAGCCTCTGTCTGTCATGGCCACCAGTGGGCACTGAGGCTGACTCAGGCGTGGGGAGGCTAGGGTGGCCGTGCCCAGCCACATAGCCTAAGTTCCCTACCCTCCAAGAGATAGCAGGCAGTCTGTGACCCCAAACTGGGCCCTGGGGGCATGACAGCCTTGGCAGGGGTCTGGGTCTGTGGACAGAGTAGGAGTGGAGGCCCCCCAGCCCGGGAGCTGCCCTCCACCAGAGCCCCAGTGACAACTATGCGGGGGATGGCCAGGTGCCAACATGGTCGATCGTGCCGGGCACACCCCAGGAAACTTACTGGATGAGACAGTTAGTGACTCTCTGGGGACCCCGTGGTCTGGCCTCTCTAACCCTCAGCTTCTGCTGTGGGTTTCATCGAAGAGTGCCCCTTCCTTTGGCCTCCTGTCCTTTGTGGGATCCCAGCTCCGGAGAGGAGAGGCAGGGGATGTGGGGGCTCAGCACCAAACAGCCCGGCCTTGCCCCCCGGCTCCCTTTCTTGGCTGTGGGTCTGGGCAGGGGAGGAAGCCCGCCTTGGTGGGGCAGTGTTGGGCTGGGACAGGCCCAAGTGGGACCTGGGGCAGGTCCTGACACTGGTGGAGCCACAGAGAGGGGTGATCACTAGAGGCATGTGAGTTCAGCTCTGCACAGAGGCTGTGCCAGGCAGGAGAGTGGAATTGGCCTGTGGAAGAGGAAGGAGGGAGGGTGAAGGGAGATGCATGCGCCTACGCTGGGAACCTAGTTCCTCAGTCCGATGTTGGTGTCAAAGGGCAGAGAGGTGGGGGGAGTGAGCTCCTTGCATGGGGTGTGAGCACCGGCTTCTTGGTGGGGGTAAGGGCTTCTGGGGCCAAGGAGACAGAGTCTGGCTGTGAAGGGGCTTTGGGGGTTTGCTGGAGAGAAGCCGAGGTGGCCATGGGAGTGTGTATGCTGGAGGACCAGCAGGGAGATTCCTCCCAGGGCACCCTGGGACCTGGGGCACTGGGTCTCTGACCCCATATGGGATGGGAGAAGGGTCAGCTAAACCCCAGCCGGCCAAGGTGCAGCCCTGGGTTTCAGCTGGGCCTTGGGACCTTAGAGGGTAGAAGGCAGGAAGTGCTGGCTAGCCGGCGCTGTTGGGAGGACCCGGCAACAGGAAGTATTGCATGGGGAGGAAGCCCGGGCAGCCGCAGGCCCCAGAGGTAGCTGGTGGCTGTCAGCAGGAGGGAGCTGTGGACCCCGGGCAGTGCTCAGGGACATGTCGGGGCATCAGGCCTCCCCTGCCTGGGGGAGGCAGGCTGCCAATCTGCCCTGTGACCCCTGAGTCCCATGGCCTCCTGGGGCCCTAGGACACCTGCCCCTAGCCTGTCCACGGACAGGAGCAGAGCCATGTGCTGGCAGACTGCCTTCAGGTTAGTGGGGCAGCCCACGGACTGGGTGCTTGGGAGATGGCCCTGGCCCCGTGTTTCCAGTACGGCATGGGAGGCTGAGCTCTGGACTCCAGAGCGGACAGGCTCCAAGGAGAGCCCTCAGAGCTGGGTGGGGCACAGTGGGAGCCCCACTGCCCCCCACCATGGGCTGCTCAGCCTGCAGCTGGCAGGGAGCTGGGGGCCCGGGTTGGGGTACGCCTTCCCATTGTATATGCTGGCGGGCTGGCCTAGCCTTTGGGTCCTGTGTGTGTACACATTGAGTGAGTGTGTGTGCCCGGTGGGGGGGTGGTGTGTGAGTGTGTATGTGTGCGCATATGCTTGGGGGTCTGGCAGGGAGATGAAGGGCTGGGTGGGCTCTCCTCATGAGGCCCAGTTCATTCCCCTTCCCTCCGGCATGGCTGGTCACCGGCTTCCGGCCTCTGTAGGAGATTTTTCGTTTTGATTCTCTTATGGAGAAAGATTCTGGAAAGACGAAGGCAGGGAACTGAGAGGGAAGAATGGATGGGCTATGTGTGTGGTGCTGTGAGCCCACCGGCCCCTAGGGCCTGCCGGGTGCCAGGCTGGGGGAGTGCCTGTCCCTGGCAAGCATCCCCCCACCTCCCAGTGTTTACTGACTGTGTAACTTTGGGTGAGTTACTCAGTCTTGCAGGCCCTCGATGTCTTCATCAGTGGTGCGGGGGTGATGCTGACGCACACATCAGGGGGTGTTGGGATGATGACATGGGCTGATCCATGAGAAGCACCGAGACTGGCCTATAGTGAGTGCCCGGTGCACTTCTCCCAGCCCTGCTGTTATAGTCTATAAAGTAGGACTAAAGCACCGGGCCTGTGGGACTTAAGGACCTGTCAGGTGGGACTTGGCCCCGGCCCATGCAGGGCTGGGTGGCGACAGTGATGTTTCTGACCTGTGCTGGGGCTGCCAGCCCAGGGCCGGGGGGCACCCAGCAAGGGTCTCGTTAGCCTCTGGAGGCCAGGTGTGTGCGTCTGCTTACGAGGGAGTGAATGAGTGTGTACCAGTGGGAGTCCATAGATATGTGTGTGAGTACATAGTGTGCTTGAGTGTGTGTGTGGATGAGTGTATGTCTAAGAACAAGTGTGTGTGAGCACGTGTCCAAGTGTGTGTATATGTGCCTCTGTGTGTGTACATGTGTGTATATGTCTGTGTGTGTATAGGTCTGCATGAGTGTGAGTGTGTGTGTGTGTGTGCATATGTGTCTGCTTGTATGTGTGTCTGTGTATGTGTGTGTGTACAGGTCTGCGTTTGAGTGTGTACATGTGCGTGCATGTGTGTCTGAGTGTGTACGTGTGCACGTATTGGTCTGCGTGTGAGTGTGTACGTGTGCGTGTGTGTCTGCATGTGAGTGTGTGTGCGTGCGTGTGGCTGCATGCATTCGGGGACCCCAGCCCCACTGTGCTCTGCAGTTTGGGACCGGTCTTGTCACCACTGACAGGAACCCTGATTGTGGTCACACAAAGTGCCAGCTCCCTCACCACAGCCAGGGCTGTGTCTGCAGGTGTGAAGGAGGAGAGCCATGGGAGCTCGGCCTCCAGGTCCCCTGCTTAGCTCTCGTGCACAGGCTCACACCCGTGCACACTCATGCACACGCTGGTGTGCACACTATACCCTGCATGTGGGCCGTGTGGGTCCCACGCACAGCCCGTCTGAGCATACTGCCTGCAACTCTGACAGGGTGTGGAGCCTCAGGGCACATGCGGGCCGGGTGGGGGGTGACCACACGCTCTGGGGCTTACAGCCACATGGGGGGTGGGTGTGATCCACCAAGCGACAATTGGTGGAACTCGAGGAGGGCTGTCTCTGTGGGCCAGTGCAGTGTCACCCACCTGCTCGCCCCCCTCCCTGTGCTTCAGGCCTCCGGGCACCCGGACTAACCTCAGCTTGAAGAGAAGGTCCCAGGTGAGCGAGGATCAGAGACCAGAGAGTGCCCGAGGGTCTGCCGTCCCTAGTACACATCCTGCGCACAAAGACCTCGTGCCTTCTGGAAGGCCCCACGGAGCCCAGCAGCCACCACCATGTCGGCCACCTTACCGCTGACCTTCGTGTCATCGGAATCCTGCCCAAGAAGGCTCCTGTGAGCTGCAGGGAACAGAGCCACTCCCAGTGGCCAGCTCACTGGGTGGCCTCGGTCCCCTCCTCCATAGAGACAGATGCCCTGAGGGTTGTTGGGCCGCTGTGAGGACAGGGCTCTCTGTGTCCACTGTAAATGAGAGGAAGCAAAGGCTCCCTGGAGGACAGGCCTGGTGGGATTTGAATCCAGGCCTGGAGCACTCTCCTGACAGGTCCCACCCAGGGGGGCTCAGCAGACAATGCCCCCTCCCCCGGAAGCACACTAAGGGGCCTCCACTGCTGTGTCTGTCCCTGCAGAAGAAGGGACTGACGCTTCCTGCTGATGAGCCCACGGGATGAGTGAGTGGACTTTGACCATCAGGGTGCTGGGCGACAACACGAGCCTAGAGGGAGGTGGCCAGGGAGACCAGGCTGGCCAGGAGTGTGGGTGTTTCTTGGGGACTCCCCTCAATTTTCCCGGGCACCAGTGGAGTTGGAGTCTTTGAGCTGGACTGAAAGTCCCCAAAAGCTGTGTGGTCACCTTGGCCAACATGGCCCGTCATCACCCCTACCCTCAGCCACCATTTCCTTCCCTTTTCTGTTCCAGCCCGGCCTGGCACTGGGCTCTTGGTCAGGTGCCAGACCAGCTCATGCACTGGTGCAGGGCAGAGCTGGGTGGGGCGGGAGGCTTTAGGGACATCAGGATGGGTTTTCCCTCAGATGGTCTGTCCTCTGGAGAGGAGCTGAGCATATTGGCATCTGTCCCTGAAACGAGGACATTCCTAGGAGAGGTGAAGTTGAGCACAGCCTAATTCTGTCACCACCCACCCTCCCCACCCAAGGTCCGGCTGGCCGCCCAAGAGCCCTCATCCTGCCCACAGAGAGACTGCGGTCAGGCAAGAGTGAGGCTCTCACGGGCCTATACTTGCCTGGCCCCTGAGCTAAGCCAGAGTGGGGCTCTAAATTCCCATAGCTCCTCCCCTCCAATTTCTTCCAGGTGCAGTGTGAGGAGGAGTGGGTTCCATCCCTTCATACTGCAGCTGCCCCTGCCCCAACAGACACACCAGGTCTCCTTACAGATTGGGGAGGATGCAGTATGGGGGGAGAGGGCTATATTTTGGCTTTCTGTGCCTTCCCGGCAAGTGCAGTCCCTACCACCCACTAGAGTCAACATTCTGTGCCTCCTTTGGGGTTCCCTGGGTGCCCCTCTGTGCTGGGCCTGAGCTGGTGAGGATGGGGGACAGTAACAAGCTAGTGTGGTCAGTGTTACCTGGGGGGAAGGCTGTGTTAGCCCCATGGAGGGACATAGGAACCCCTAGAGGCCAGGGAAAACCACCTGAAAGAGGGGACACTTGTGCTAACCCTCATTTCATTTTTGGATTGTTCGCTGCTAGTATCATAGAAGTATGAATGGTTTTTGTGTATTGATCTTCCTGCTAACTTGTTTATTAGTTCTAATCACTTTTTAGTAGGTTCCCTGGTATTTTTTCTATATGTAATCATCTAAGTTGTGAGTAGTCTTAGTTCTTCATTTCCAACCTGGAGACCTTTTATTTCTTTTTCTTGCCCAATTGCCTTGGCCAGCAGCTCTGGTACAAGTTAGATAGAAGCAGCAAGAGCAGAGTTTTCCTTGTCCCTGCTCTTAGGGGAAAGAGTTCAGTCTTTAACCATCGAAGATGATGTTGACTGTGGGCTTTTCATAAACACCCTCTTACCATGTTGGGGAAGTTTTCTCCTATTCCTAGTTTGTTGAGTGTTGTTCCTAGCAGGAAAGATTGTCAGATTTTGTCAAATGCTTTTTCTCTGACTGTTGAAATAATCGTATGGTTTGTCTTTTTTTTTTTTTTTCCTTTCTGGTATGATGTATTACAATCATTGAATTTTAAGTGTTAACCTTGTGTTCCTGGGATAGAGCACACTTAGCGTGGTGTAGAATCCTTTTTACAAGGTGCTGAATTCAATTTGCTAATATTTTGGTGAGCATTTTTTTAGAGGGGGGAGGGAAAGAAGGAGAAGGGGCAGAGAAAGAGAACGCTAAGCAGACTCCGTGTCCAGCACAGAGCCTGACATGTGGCTCAATCTCACAACCATGAGATCATGACCTGAGCTGAAATCAAGAGCCTGACACTTAACTGACTGAGCTTCCAGGAGGACCTTGGAGAGGATTTTGGTGTCTACAATCATAAGAGTTATTGGTCTGTCGTTTTCTTGTGTTGTCTTTGGTTTTGGTATCAAGGCAGTGCTGGCCTTATAGAGTGAGTTCCTTCCTCTTCTGTTTTTGGAGGAGTTAACTATGAGTTGGTGTTCATTTGGACCAATATTTGGAGGCTAAGTTAGTTTAGTTGCCCCCTAAAGACACTGGAAGGCACTGCAGGCAGTGGAAACTGGGAGCTGTAGCCTGGAGGTGGTGCTTGGTGGTTCTGGGTCTTGGATTCAGGAGCCATGGGGTCTGGATGGCACCGGTCCATGGGAGGTGGAGGGCAGGAGGACAGCCTGCTGGGAAAGCTCCATGGGGGCTGTCTCTGGAAAGGCCAAGTGCACATGATGAAGCCCTGGAGATCTGGAACAGAGGTGATGGGAATGGCATGTGTGGGTGGGGGAGAACATGCTGAGTGGAGGTGATGGGGGAGAGAATGGAAGCCGGGGAGGAAACTGAGACAAGGGGTGGTGGGTTACTGCCCAGAGGTGGTGGGGAGGAGGACAAGCAGGGGGGCTGGGAGGAGCAGGAGGAGGCAGTGGTCCTGAGTATGCTGCCAGGGGAGGGATTGGCAAGGGCACTGGGAGCAGAGGCGCACAGGTGGGACAGAGCCTCTCCCTGCAGTGGCAGGCGGCACCCAGAGCCAGCCTGAAGTGGAGGCGGGGAAACCAGGAACCAGTGCTGCGCACAGCTGCACAACTGCACAGCTGCACAGCTGCGTGGGAGGACAGAGCCCCTGCCCCAGCTGGCCCAGCTGACCCGCAGCCTGTATGCAGGAGGGAGATAGAAGAGGCAGAATGCTTGGGGGGCCGGCAAGGCCATCACCTACCTTTGGCCAGCCTGGGGTTCTCCTGGGAGAGGAGCCCACATCTACAGAACAGGTGGGAACTGCCAAGGACTGGACGTCTGTCTGGCTCCTGCAGGAAAACCCGGGGGGTGGAGACCGGTGGCGGCAGATGGGTGAAACAACCTGCCTGAGAGGGGGCGGGAGGACCCACAGACCCAGTCGGAGCCCCAGTGGCCGCCAGCCGAACCAGCTTCACCCCGGCCACAACCCGGGGAGGCCGGTCCGCGCTCGCCCCCGTTTGCGGAAGCGCAAACGGAGGCCCAGGGAAGACGAGCCCCTCTCCCGAAGGGGCTGGCCAACCGGGGAGCCTGGCGGGCTCCGGGCCGCACTCAGACGTCCGCGTCGCGCCCCGGAGCCGCTGGGGAAACTGAGGCCCCGCGCGAGGGGAGGGAGCGGTCCGCGGTGGGGCGCGGAGCGCGGGGTCTCCACCTGCCGCGCCCGCCCCGCCCGCGAGGGGAGGAGCCGGCGGCCGTGGGGCGGGGGGCGCGGGGGCTGCGGCGGCGGGGCGCGCGGCATGGCGGGCGCGGGGCGCGGGCGGTCGGGCTGGGGCGGGCGGGAGGCCGGCGCGGGGAGTGCCGGCCCGGGGCAGTGTCGCTGCGGGCAGGGGCGGCGGGCCGCCGCGTGGACGCCGTGAGTACCGAGCCCGGAGCGCGAGCCCCGCTTCCTGGGGGAACAAAGGCGGGCGTGGGCCGGGCGGGGCGCGGGGGTTCCGTCCCGGGCAGCAGGCTCCGGGGGGCCAGGGCCGAGCCTTTGTTCCGAGCCTCGGCTGTGGGCGGGGGCCGGCCCGGGGCTGGTTGGTGCGCTTGGAGCCGGAGGGGGCAGCCCGGGCCCTGGAGGAGGTGAGCCTTTGGCGGAGGATGCTGGCTCGCCAGCAGCCCAGTGGGGGTGGGGTGGGGTGGGGTGTGTGTGTGTGTGTGCGTTTTGGGGAACGGGGTCTGTAGTGGCAGGAGCCCCAGGGGACAGGGCCTCTGTGTCTGACCCTGGCTGCAACACTGGTGGCTCAGTGGGACAGGGACCACACTCCCGGTTGACACTCCGAGTCCACTGGGCCCCAGGAAGGATCAGGCACCAGGGTTAGTGGGGGCAGGCACAAGAGAAATAGTGCCTCTGGGCGGGGTTGGGGGGGTAGTCTTGAATATGAGTAGGCATTCAGATGCCTCACAGAAGAGGGGACTGTGACATGATCCCAGGATCCTGGGGTCGAGTCCCACATTGGGCTCCTTGTCCAGCGGGGAGCCTGCTTCTCTCTCTGCCTGGCACTCTGCCTGGCACTCTGCCTGCTTGTGCTCGCTCTGACAAATAAATAAATAAAATCTTAAAAAGAAGAAGAAGAGGGGACAGTGAACCTGGGTCTTGAAGGATGAATAGGAGTTCTTCATGTGAGAAGAGGGAGTGGTCAGGCATGCCAGACAGAAGCCAGGGTGGAAAAGAGCCTGGCATGTTTCAGGGAGAACGGCTAGGATGAGCAGGAGGCTGGATGGGGAGCAGGGGAAACAGGGAACAGGGTGGATACCAGTCAACCCACCAGAAGGTCATCGTGGCCACTGCCAACAAGCATGTGCTATATGTCAGGCTGTGTCCACTCTGTGTCCCCACTTTACAGCTCCAACAACTATGGCCTAGGGATCCCCCAGAGAGCTGAGCCAGGGTGGGAACTAGAGACTCAGGGCTACTTGCTTTCCTGCTTCCTGGTCTTAGGGCCTTAAGAAAGGGTTGGACAGAAGCTGGCTAAAGGCAGGCAGGAGGGGCGCCTGGGTGGCTCAGTGGGTTAAAGCCTCTGCCTTCGGCTCAGGTCATGATCCCAGGGTCCTGGGATCGAGCCCCGCATCAGGCTCTCTGGTCAGCAGAGAGCCTGCTTCCCCTCCTTCTCTTTTTGCCTGCCTCTTTGCCTGCTTGTGATCTCTGTCAAATAAATAAATAAATAAATCTTTAAAAAAAAAAAAAAAGGCAGGCAAGAGTGGAGAGTAGGGCATTTGGGGCCATGTCCCTCATCCCTTCTCTGCTAAGGGGATGGAGAGGATGCCCGAGGCCAGCCCTGGCCCCTGTACCTTTTTAAAGCCATTATAGTCACCTCCCCCTGGAAGCCCCCTCCCTGGCAGGCTCCATCATAGGCTGACCTGGCACACAGACTTGGGGTGGTTATGGCATTAGGCCTGACTTACCTGGGCCGATGGTTTTTTGTTTTTTTTTTAATTTATTTATTTACTTCTTTATTTTACAGAGAGAGAGAGATCACAAGTAGGCAGAGAGGCAGGCAGAGAGGGGGGAAGCAGGCTCCGTGCCGAGCAGAGAGCCTGACGAGGAGCAGAGATCCCAATGAGGAGCGGAGAGCCCGACGCAGGGCTCGATCCCAGGACCCTGAGATCATGACCTGAGCTGAAGGCAGTGGCTTAACCCACTGAGCCACCCAGGTGCCCTGGGCCAGTGGTTTCTTGAATTTATTCACTGCTATCCCCTAGCCTCCCTGTGGGGCTGTTAGTTCGGCAGGTTTGTGTGTGAGTGAACCAATGATAGTGAAGGAACACGCCCCGTTCTCAGTGTCTCTGGGGCTCAGGTGTGTGGCCAGATAGACCAGGTGCTGACCAAGTGGACCAGGTGGCCCTTTCTTTCCCTGGGGTCCCACCTGGAAGCTGGTTCCCTACCCCTTGCTGCCTTGACCCTTTAGGCTGTCTCCAGGATCTCGGTGGTGTATCCCCCAGCCAAGCCATCTAATGTCCCCCAGTCCTGGCTGAGACATGTTTTCTTCTCCTTTTTTTGCAGCTTCATGGCGGCCGAGGAGATGCATTGGCCCGTCCCCATGAAGGCCATTGGTGCCCAGAACTTGCTAACCATGCCTGGGGGCGTGGCTAAGGCCGGCTACCTGCATAAGAAGGGTGGGACCCAGCTGCAGTTGCTCAAATGTGAGTCCTCTGGGTGGCAGGGAGCATGATGGGACGGTATGGGAATGGGCCTGAGCCCCAGCCCTGTGGCCCCACTGCCCTGTTGGACCTCTGTGGGCAAGCAACCTGTCTCTCTGAGCCTCTGCCCAGACATGGTAGGCCCTCCATTGTTTTCCTTCCCTCCATGGTGGCCAGTACCCCCTGGGGGACCTGAGTCAGCCTCCTCGTTCCCCAGGACTGTGGGATGACTTGGGGTGCTACTGCAAAATGGAGATAGGATGGGCATTTGGCACATGGTGCTTCATCTGCACCAGGGGCTGGGGGCCTTCGGTGGCCTGGTGTGGTACACCAGGTGTGGTACAATGTGGCCTTGTTCCATCCCATGGGTGTTCAGTGAGTTGGTTGGTGACTTGGTCCAGCTGCATGAGGCCAAGTCTCTGGTCCCTAGGACAGCGGGTTGGCAGAGAGTGGGGGCCCCCAGGTCTGGGAGATGCCCAGTTGTCAGGACATTGAAGGTCGAAGAGCATCAGGGCTTTGCTTGTCACTCTGACCATGCATGAGCTCCCCATGCTATGACTTCTGGCCCTAGCTTTGTGCTTCGGTGGGCCAGCCTAGGTTGTCAGGTCTCCGCCTGCCATCGGTGTGGCCAGGCCTGCCTTGGAGGGTGGTGCTCTGGGGCCTGTCATCCTGCCTGTGGTTTGCTTACACTGGGCCTCACAGTGGGCTCCCTGCAAGGAGGCAGCAGGCTAGCCCAGCTCCCTCCCCTTTCCTTTAGTGGGGTTCCAAGGCAGGAGGACTGCCCTGAGCCACCCAGGGCCTCTGGGATAGCTGCCCTGTGGGATCTGCCCAGCAGCCCCCCAAGACTCACCTCTGCCCTCGCCCTGCCACCCTCAGGGCCGCTGCGCTTTGTCATCATTCACAAGCGTTGCATCTACTACTTCAAGAGCAGCACGTCTGCCTCCCCGCAGGGCGCCTTCTCTCTGAGCGGCTACAACCGGTAAGTGCCCCGTAAGTTCCCGGTAAGTGCCTGCTGCCTGCCATGCCCACAGTGCCCTGGCCAGGCCTGTCCCTCTGTCCTGCCCACCCCTATGGAGGGTCCAGGCTGTCTTGAGATGGCTCCCATCCCACCCTTTGGATCCTGTCCAGCGTCTCCCACTTGGTCTCAGCCTCTCCGGGGCCTTCGCGGAGGACCTGGGGCCAGGCCCGGGGGCTTCCTATGCTCTTCTCAGCAGAGGCTCCTGGGTCCCCATTTGGCTTCCACTCCCCTTCCCTGCTCACCCAGCGCTTCTCCTACCCTAGCCTCCTTCCAAGGTGCCAGGAACATACTTCACCCTGAGCCCTGCCTCAGGCCTCCCTGGTTTCGGGGCCTCCCAGGCTAGACCCAGCTCCTAGCTTTACATGAACGGCCCAGGGGCTGGGTCCATCCCACAAGTGCCTCTATGCGAATGGGCAGGTGGGTGCTGGGCCAGAGCCTTCTAGATAGGATGGGGAATGTTGGCAAGGAAGACCTTATTAGCCCCACCTGGGCCCACCCCATAGCATCAGGGGCCTGCAGAACGGGTGAAGTGTGACTCCTGGGCTCTAGGTCTTAATGTCACAGCATGGGCCCGGCTCCCTGGGACATGAGGTCGGTGTCTCCCAGCTCCCTAGGAGGGCCCAACCCCTCCTGTCTCTGAGCACCTAAAGGTCCCATGTCAGTCGCAGGACAGAGTGACTCAAGGTTGTGGCCACAGGCTCAGTGGGGAGGACTTGCCCAGGCGTCCAGCCCCATGCCAGACCTCCAGGCCAGCTGGGGCACCAGTAAGGAGAGGACGAGCCTAGAGCTTGTGGCTGCCAGTGGGCATCCATGGCTCAGAGCTCTGGGGTCCCCCCTTGTTGCCCTTGCCCTCAGCCTGGTGGAGGGGCATACCTGCCCCAGGTGACTAGCCCGGTGGGGCTCCCCCACGGTAGACTTTGTGATCTCGATATATCCTGGCGGGGGGAGTGGCCACAGTAAGTCATGTCCCCCCTGTGTTCTCCAGGATACCCCTGCGGGGGCATCAGGAGTGGGGGCAGGGGCTGACATGCTTGGGCCCCCAATAGGCAGGCCAGCCAGGGCAGGCAGGTAGCCTCCAAGTAGAGGGACATTGGTGGGTGGCGAAGGCGATGTGTCCTTGTTCTGCAGCCATGTGGGCTGCTGCTTCCAGGACAAGCTCCCAGACCCCAGAGCCCTGTCCGCTTGGTGCCTGGTCCTCGCCTATGCACTTCCCTCTGCCTGAAGATTTTAGAACTTTGACCTGGAGGATCCGCAAGACGGGCTGTCCAGACACAGCTGCGTCCTTGAGGGCGTGATGGGTGAGGGGTGCCAGGACCGTCAGGCTGACCGGGGGTGACCGCTGGCCCTGTGTCCTCAGGGTGATGCGGGCAGCTGAAGAGACAACGTCCAACAACGTCTTCCCCTTCAAGATTGTCCACATCAGCAAGAAGCACCGCACCTGGTTCTTCTCGGCCTCCTCTGAGGACGAGCGCAAGGTGAGCCTATCTGCGGGGTCGGGGGGCTGACGGGGCCACCGTCCAGGCACTGAGGGGATGTGGTGGGGATGCGTTGCCCCTTCTCAAGCCTGTGGCCTGGTACCAGCACCCCATGCTCAGGAGTCATCTCGGAAAGAGCTCTGAATGGGCTACAGCGGGGCCAGAGCCCCCAGAAGGCCACGGAGGTCGTCTCGCTGACCATCATGCAGGCCAGCCTAAGGAGGGGGTGGGTGGAGCCCTGCCCCGGGCCGCACGCACCCACCACACCCCCACTGCCCCACAGAGCTGGATGGCTTTGCTGCGCAAGGAGATCGGCCATTTTCACGAGAAGAAGGAATTGCCCCTGGACACCAGGTGGGCCTGGGCAGGGGAGGGGGGCCTGGGGCTTGGCATGTGTGCCTGCCTCCCACCTCTGGGGGCTTGGCCCAGGCCATGTGTCCGTGTGTGTGTGCATGTGCGTGTGTATGCACACGTGCGCACTCACTGGCAGTCTCTACAGGGCAGAGGGGACGTGGGGCTAGCCCTGAGGCCTGGCCCTGTGTGGTCAGGCAGGAGAGTGAGGGGGGCACCACAGTCTCTGGTTCCTGGGTCTGTGTTTCTCACCTGTGAGGAACTTCTCCGACTGTGTTTTTTCCTTGTGTTTATCTGTGGGTCTAGCTCTGTACATGTCCACGTGTCTGTGTGTGGTGTCTGTGCGTATGTCCATGGCTGTGTGTGTGTCTGTGCATTAGTCACATGTCCGAGGACATGTGTGTACGTCCATATGTGTGAATGCAAGGGAGATCCCCTGCCCGGTGCTCACTGTGCCCCACCCCTGCCCCCCACCTTAGTGACTCCAGCTCGGACACAGATAGCTTCTATGGTGCAGTCGAGCGGCCTGTGGACATCAGCCTATCCCCGTACCCCACAGACAATGAAGGTGAGGCCTGTCTCTGCACACCTGTCCCACCCCCTCCACACCTGGCTACCCCCGCCATGGGAGGCGTGGCTGGCTGTCTTCCCCATGCAGCCCAGGTCTGGGGTTCATGCCCCGGCTGGGGCCTCCCTGACCCTCGCTCCCAGTGTCCTGAGGGCCCCTGGGTGCAGCTGGGCCTGGGCCACCCTGTGTCTGACGCTCTATGTGCCTTACAGATTACGAGCATGAGGATGAAGATGACTCGTACATGGAGCCTGACTCCCCCGAGCCCATGGAGCCTGAGGGTAGGTGGGCAACCTCTGAGCCTGGGAGGCTCCTGGGGCTGGAACCCGGAGCAGAGCCCCTCCCAGACTGGGAGTACTGGCCTGAGTCCTGCTCCGCGGGGCCTCAGTTTCCCTGTTGTGGCCCAGGTATCAGGAGGACTGATCTGGCTGGCTCTGCTCACCGGCTCCTCCCACATCCAGGTAGCCTGGGGTGGAGCGGACAGCTGATTTGCAAATAAGTGAGGTGGAGGGGCCCACACGTGTGATGCTGAGCCCAGGGTGGCTCTGGGGTGGCGAGTGGGGAAGGAGGAACATTGAAGAGTGGGTGTCTCAGCTCCCTGGAGCACCTCTGGGCTAGCCTGTCACTTACCCACCTGCTTCCCCCGCCCTGACCTCCTGAAACATGTGGCCTGGCACAGGAGAGTGGCGAGTACCACGCATCACATATGTGTGTCACATACATGTGTCACAGCAAAGCATAGGGCCCGACGGGAGGACTGCGCCTCTGTCCTGCCATCTGTCTCTTCCCACTATCCCTTCCACTGTCCTGGGAACTTGGGACAATCCCTCTACACCTGGCCTCCCTGTTCCTCTGCCTGCTGTCCTTCAGTGACCTTGTTCTCTGCCCTCCTCAGCCCCTGTCATTCAAGTGCAGCAGGGGCAGGTCCAGCTCCCTTTCCTGCTCCTGGTCCCCTCCCTCTGAGGCAACAACCAGGAGCTGGGGGCCATGAGCCTCGATCTCCCTCCTGGCACAGAGCCTGTGGCTCCAGCCCATGTCCATCTGCCCTGCCCCTAAACTGTAGCCATGCGTGGCTAGAGATGAGCACATAGGGGCCTCAGTTTGTTCCCCACTGCATGCCCACAGACCTGCCCACACACTTGCTCTGAACCCTTCTGAGTCCCCACTCCAAGCAGGCTTTCCCCTCTCTCTCCCAAACATCTCTCACTCTGGTGACCTCCCCATTCTCAGACGCAGCAGTTAGCACCTGTGAATCTAGTTGTACGTGACCCGGGGCTGTATTCCTTGTCCCTCAGCTGCCTCGCTCAGCGCTGGGTGCCTTGTGCTCTGGGTCCTCTCCCACCTCACTCAGCCCTACACCAGCCCCTTAATGCCATCCACAGGAGATGGGCCATCCAGGACTCAGGCCTAGCCTACAGCTCTGGGACAGCCAGGGTCATGGAGAACCTGTCCACTGGCCTTTCCAGCCAGTGCCCCTCCTTGAACTCCAGACCTGCGCCCCGATGGCCCCACACACACCCTCGCCTCTCCTCAAACCCCAGACCTGTGTCCCCACGGCCCCCCACACCCTCGCTTCTCCTCGAACCCCAGACCTGCACCCCGACAGCCTGCCCCACACCCTCGCCTCTCCTGGAACTCCAGACCCAGGCCTGATAGCCCACCCCACACCCTTGCTTCTCTTTGAACCATAGACCTGCGGCCCGGCGGCCCAACCCATACCTTCACCTCTCTCTTAAACCCCAGACCTGCGCCCCGACGGCCTGCACCACACCCTTGCTTCTCCTCGAACCACAGACTTGTGGCCTGACAGCCCGACCCATACCCTTGCCTCAAACCCCAGACCTGTGCCCCAACAGCCCCCCCATCCTCGCCTCTCCTCAAACCCCAGACCTGCACCCCCACGGCCCCCCATACCCTCGCCTCTCCTCAAACCCCATACCTGCGCCCCGACAGCCCACCCTACACCATCACCTCTCCTCGAATCCCAGACCTGTACCCCGACAGCCTGCCCCACACCCTCACCTCTCCTTGAATCCCAGACCTGTGCCCCGACGGCCCGCCCCCCACCCATGCCTCTCCTTGAACCCCAGACCTGTGCCCTGACAGCCCACCCCACACCCTCACCTCTGCTCAAACCCCAGACCTGTGCCCCGACGGCCCGTCCCACCACCCTTGCCTCTCCTTGAACCGCAGACCTGCACCCCAATGGCCTGCCCCGCACTCTCTGTGTTCTTACAGCCAAGCAAGTACAGCCCTCATCTTCCTCCCAAGCTGCTCCTGTCCATCCTGCTCACCTATCTTAGTGGGAATAGCTTCCCGTCACTGAGGCGAAGTCCTCAGAGTCCCCCTTGCCTCTTCTCTCTCACCTCCACTTCTGGGAAGCTGATGGCTCCAGAAGCTTGTGGGGACCCCACATGGAGGAAGAATGAGGAAGGCCGGGGCATGGAGGTTGGTGGTGTTGGCCCAGCCTCCAGCAGGTAGCACATGCTCACTGACTGGGTCCCTTTGCTCTGCAGACACCCTGACCCACCCACCGGCCTACCCGCCGCCTCCTGTGCCCACACCCAGGAAGCCAGCCTTCTCCGACATGCCCCGTGCTCACTCCTTTGCCTCCAAGGGCCTGAGCCCCCTGCTGCCACCCCCACCCCCTAAACGTGGCCTCCCTGACGCCAGCCCAGCTCCCGAGGACTCCAAGAGGGACCCACTGGGCCTGAGGCGGCCTGAGCCTGGCCCCAGGGGGTCCCTGGCCCCACGGAGGATGAGTGACCCCCCGCTTGGCCCCCCGCCAACCATGCCCAGCCTCCGGAAACCCCCTTGCTTCCGTGAGAGTGCCAGCCCCAGCCCAGAGCCCCGGGTCCCCAGCCACGGGCCTGGTTCTGCCTGCAGCTCTGCCAGCATGGCCGCTGCCTCCTCCAGGAACTGTGACAAACTCAGATCCTTCCATCTGTCTCCCCGGGGGCCACCCACGCCTGAGCCTCCACCTGTGCCGGCCAACAAGCCCAAGTTCTTAAAGATGGTGGAAGAGGCCCCCATCGGGGAGGCAGCCAGGCCCAGACTCTTTGTGCCCCCTGTGGCCCCCAGGCCCCCCGCACTGAAGCTGTCCACGCCTGAGGCCACAGCCAGGCCAGTGGTCCTGCCGAGGACGGAGAAGCCACCCCTCCCCCACCTGCAGTGAGTAGACTGGGTGCCGGTGCCCCTGGGACCCCCTCCCCAATGGCTGGGTTCTTGTGTGGGTGCCCTGGCCTCCTCAGCTTTGGCACAGTGCCCACGATGGTTGCCAGGGAGCCGTAGCGTGAGAGCAAGATGGCTGCCTGATGGCCCCGGCCTGCTGTGGCCCTGCAGCCTCCCCTGCAACTGACCCACCCCCACCCCAGAGGAAGGTCCAGCCTCGTGGGTGGTGGGCCTGGGGCCCATTGCTGTCTGGGGAGCAGTGGGCAAGGGGATCTTTGGGGAAACAGGCCTCCCAGGGCCCGTGCAGTGTCAGGGGAGGGGGCTTCAGGGCTGAGCACCTGCTCTGGGATAGACGGTGGGGGGTCGAGGAGCTTGGGCTGGGAGCTGCTAGGACCTGGTGGGCCTCTGCAGGCCCTCCTGAGCCAGCACTGTCCTTCCCTACCTGGGGCTCTGGAGCCACCAGGGCTGCCTCTGTGCCCTTCCTGACTGGGAACTCGCCAGAATGCAGAGTATGTTGGTGACTTATCCTTGAGGTCTGCTCAGAACACTTTGTTCTTTATTGCCGGGCACTGTTGGGGGACTGATGTGTCCTCTGTTGGCACAGTGTCACTCATACCAACAACCTGTGGTTAGCGATGTCTGGGGCCCCAAACCACGAAGGTTCTGGGAGCGACGGAGGGAGTCCTGAGTGGGCACGCTAGCCCAGTACTCCCTGAAGGCCTATGACTCTGGCATCCTTCTCTCTAGGACTCTCAGCTCTGCTGCCCAAGGGAGGGTGCCCCATGATGGTTCCTGTTTCACAAGGGGCCACAGGGGTACAGACTGGGTCGGTTTGCCGTGAGCTATGGCCCAGCCCTGGCCATAGCCCAGTGTGGGCTCTGTCCGTTTGTATCACCTGTTCTTTGTGGCTTGGGGAGGGGTGTAACTAGGCCAAGGTCACAAAGCTGGTTAGCTGCAGAGCTGGGGCCCAGCCCCCCAGCCTGGGGCCTTCTGCAGTGTCCAGGGCACTTGCCTGTGCTATGACGACAGAGGAGTTCAGGCCCCAGCACCCCTCTTGCCAGCGGCATTGGCAGTTGTGAGCCCGGAGCAGGCAATTCCTATCGTCCCAGGGCGGTCGGCACTGGCCTATCTCAGAGCTCTCTGGTCTGGGCCTCTGACAACCATTGGGGTGAACAGGGGTGGTGGGTGGAGGGTGGAGGGCTGTGACAGTGATGTGCCCTCCTCTCCTTGCTCCCCTCCCAGGAGGTCACCCCCTGATGGGCAGAGTTTCAGGAACTTCTCCTTTGAAAAACCCCAACGGCCCTCAAAGGCCGACAGCACTGGTGGGGAGGACTCTGACGAGGACTATGAGAAGGTGGGGCCGGTGGGGGGTGGAGAGCCCAGCTTGCAGCAGTGGGTGGGAGGCCGGGGAAGAGCTGCTGGCCAGGGCGGCTCCTCACTGAGCATCTTGAGGGAGGAGCTGCCCAGGATGCCGGAGTTGTCGGTGGGGGTGGGGGGTGCCAGAGCACCGTGCAAAGCCCCAGATCTGGGCACAGGCTGGCAGCCCGTGGTGGGGGAGGGGCACTGGCTACAGGCACCACTTGGACCCTGACCCTGACCACCACTGGTGTCTCCAGGTGCCGCTGCCCAGCTCTGTGTTTATCAACACCACGGAATCCTGCGAAGTAGAAAGGTTAGCACCCAGCCCTTCTTTCTCCAAATCCTTGTTTTTCGCAGACATGTGGTCCCCCGCTTTTCTGTCCCCCTCACTTGCCTTAGTGCTGGGCAGTTGCTAGCACCCAGACATGGCTCCGAGGACAACAGAGGCCATGGACTCAGTCCCGGGGCTGGTGGTCACCCTGGGCGTGGCCCTCACACAGCCTGTTGCTCTTGGGACCTGTGCTGCCGAAGAGCAAGAAGACAGAAAGCCATACTGAGGACCAGGGCTGGAGGGTCCCCGTAAGTGAGGTCTGAGGACAGTTTGCCTGCTGACACAGCTGTTGTATTTTAGGCTGTTCAAAACCACAAGCCCCCAGGGAGAGCCCCAGGATGGACTCTACTGCATCCGGAACTCCTCCACCAAGTCGGGGAAGGTAGGTGCCCCAAGCGTCACCCTGCTGGGCTGAGGCCCCTGGGGACACGGCTATGTGGCGGCTCCTCTCTGCTCACACCCAGACGGACAGCCAGTGCGGCGCTTTGTAGTGCACACGCCCCTTCCCTGGGCGGCACTGATTGGGCATCTCGGCCAGCTCTCTTCTGGGGGTCTCTGCCTGGCAGCCACTGCCCCGTCTGTTGTCAAGAACTAAACACCGTTTGCAAACTGGGGGAGATGCTGGCCAGTCCCCCAGCATAGGTAGGAGCTTGGCAGGAAGCCCTGGGTATCCCAGACTCAGGTGGGCTGGGGGTTTTCAGGCACCTTGCAGGGGAGGCTCCCTGGGGCCGAGGGAATAGAAGTCGGCTGCCAGTACCTCTGCCTCTACGAGGGTGGCTTGTAGTGAGCCTCACTTTTCTGCTTCTTTTCCTTTGTTATTTATTTACTTATTTATTTAAGTGAGCTCCATGCTCAACAGCGGGGCTTGTGCACATGACTCCAAGATCCAAGATCACGAGTTGCACGGTCTACGGATGGAGCTAGCCTCTCTCTGTTCTGTGTGTGTCAGAAATGGTCCTAGGGTGAGCCACGCACCTGGTACTGCTTCTCGAGTCTCTCCAGAGGCTGTCAGGGCAGGAGCCCTGAGGCTGGGGTCTGCCCGTTTGGACCCTGCTGGCCATGTCCCTCCCTAGGTCACCGGAAAGGCCCCGGGACCCAGCCGTGTGCTTCTGCCTGCCCTTTGGTCCCTGTGGCCCATCCCCCAAGGCTGGGGCTGCTCTCCACTGACCCATCTGCTGCTGCTCTCCCTGCAGGTTCTGGTCGTGTGGGATGAGAGCTCCAACAAAGTGAGGAACTACCGCATCTTCGAGAAGGTGGGCAGGCTGGCCCCGCCCCAGGGCCCTGGCTGGAAGGGCACACCTCCCTGGGACTTGAGTGGGACAGGGTGGTGGGGGGGTGGCAGACACAGAGCTGACACAGGGCGGCTGGGAACTGGCCTGGCTATCGTCCTCACTGCTGACCACCCCCTGTCACGGGAAAGCCCCCCAGACTCTGCTTCTCTTTCCCCCGCCCAGGACTCGAAGTTCTACCTGGAGAGCGAGGTGCTGTTCGTGAGCGTGGGCGGCCTCGTGGAGCACTACCACACGCACGTGCTGCCCGGCCACCAGAGCCTGCTGCTGCAACGTCCTTACGGCTACACGAGACCCAGGTGACGCCGGCGACCCCTGCTGCTGTGCAGAGACCAGCCACGGGGGCCGTGACCCCAGGCCACGCAGATGAGACGGGCCCACTGGGGTGATGAGCCAGATGTAGCACCATGATCCTTCCCAGGGCCTCCCCAACAGATACCTTCTAGAATCTCACAGACCAGGCTCCTCTCAGCAGGCTGGGTCCCTGGGGCTGGGCCAGGTTCTGCTCTCCAGAGGATGGGGGGGCCGGGGGTGCTCTCCTGTGACACGTACCCCACCCTGCCCCAGCTCCCCAGAGCCCGGGGTCCCAGGACCAAGCCCTGCCTGGGCTTTGTGGACAAGAATTGTGGTCTTCCCCCCCACTCCCCAGCTCCCCCAGCACACTAACCCGGCACTGTGCTGGGAGCTGGGCAGGACTGGGCATTTGGGGCAGGGGCAGGGGCTGGTCCCAGGACTGCCACCCCCAGGTGGCAAAGACGCAGGCTCTTGGAGGGGCTGTTGATGTACAATAAAGCACAGATGACCTTTCCCACAGTGGCCAGGGTTTCACTGGGAAGGAGGGGAGGACCAGCCTTACTGAGTACCCACATCCACATCCAAGGAGAGACTCTTGAAGCTCAACTCCCAGGAAACCTACGAAGTGCTTGTCTTCAGGGCGCAGGCCAGTAAAGATCTTGCTCTGGGCACATAGCTAGGTACAGAACAGGACCCAAACTCGTGCAGTCTGGACTCAGAGCCTATAATCCGAGGTGACACGGGTCAGGTACAAGGCAGTGGGACTGCAGAGCAGAAAGGCCCTCTATCTACTGTGGAGTCATTTGCTAGATTAACAAATGGTTCCCTGGGGCACAGCCGGGCCCCAGGCCAGTGGAGTGTACCTGGCTGGGAGCTCCAGGAAGACTTCTTAGAGGAAGAAATGGCTACAGTGGGTTGGGAAGAGTAGGTCCTATGCAGACTAAGTGTGGGTGAGGATGGTGGTCCCCAGATGCCCGAGTCCTCTGGACAATGCCCAGCTCAAGTCCGGCCCTGACCGCCCCTTCCTGCCTGCCGTAGAATTGCAGGAACCACTGTCCCTGGCACAGCCATCCAGGCTGGACTGTTGTGTTTGTGTGGAAACAGACTCCGCTTAGGGTCAGGGCTGGCCAGGACCCAGGGGGTATCAGATTCTCTCTGCACCTCGTTTTGGGCAAGAATTTCACCCTGTGAGATTCAAACCCAGGTCAGTGGTGTGCCCAGCAGCCAGGGATTCATCCTCTGGAGAGGGCCCTTTGTTTGTACTTCCTTCCACCTGCCCCAGGGCATGTTTGGGGGGTGGGGCTGCTGGCTGGGGGAGGGGGAGGGATGAGGCCACTGTGGATGGAAGAGGTCCTGGGGGGGTATGACAGCCATCTGCTTCCAGGAACCAAGTGTCCAGCACTGTCCTGCAGATGTTTCCTCTAAATCCTGCTGGGGGGTGGGGGAGGGTCAGCATGGGCATTGTCCAGTTGGGAGCAAGGGAAGGTTTAGGCATTCCACACTAGCTTGGGGAACCAGCAATCCATTCTCCCTGTCCTGAACTAGTGCGGGGAGCCCATGGAGGCATGCCGTTCCCTACTGTGGCTGCAGCTTCCCTTCCCCTTAAGTTATAAGTGGAGGTTGGGACCAGGAAATGGTTTCTAGTCAGTGCCTGGGGTGAGGGGGGTCTGCTTGTGAGTGAGACACTGCGTGACACAGGGTACCCTGTCACTTCTAGCTGACTTGTGGCCAGCTCAGCGGCGAAAATGTATTTGAGGACCGCCGAGCTGGAACGTGCGTGGGGTTCTGGGGCGCAGAGCCAGGTGACAGGACCTCTGGTCACTTGAACAGATGAGGCCTGTGGCTGCCCAGGGCCCACTCTGGGGCCTGAACTGGCTTTACCTCTCCTCCCAGGCCCGAGGCCTGCTCAGGACAGACTCCCACCTGTTTGGGAACTGACCCAGGACCCGGGGCCTCAGCTATAAGGGTGTATGCGGGGGCGGGGGGAGATGGGGCCCCCGAGCACGGTCTCCAGCATAACAGGGGCCTCCTGAGACCTGCCGTCAACGTTCTAGTCCTCATACAGGCTGGTTACTGCTCACCAAGGGCTTCCTGGGCTCCAGGTGCTGAGCTCCATGGGTCCTAGACAGTTTGCTTGGAGAAGAAACTGCCATGTGCCTATTTCACAGGCAAGAAAATGGAGGGTCAGAGAGGCCTGCATTCAAGTTCCAGCTGGCTTCTTACTGCCAGGTGACCTGTTCTTTGTGGCTCTGAGCCTAGCCCCCAGCCCCTGCCTACCTCCCCATCTCCCCTCAGGGCTCTGATAGTCATGGGGAGTGTATACACAGTTTTGGGTGTGCCCTGACTGACCCCAGGGGGTCACAGCCCTGGGAGGAACACAACTGGCCTGCCTCCGTCTGCTTTGCCCTCTGGGCTGAGTCTGGGGGTAATTATAGGAAGCCTAGGACCTGTGCCAGGGACTAGCCTGCTTCCTCATCTTACAGGTGGAGAAACTGAGGCTCAGAGAGGCTTCATGCCTTGTCCAGCATCGTAGGGAGTTCAGAGACAGATCCCACTCCTGGGCTGAGAAAGGCCCAGACCCTTTGGGAAGCGTCTCCAAGCCCATGACCGAACAAGGTTTTACTCTTCTCACAGTTGATCAGAAAGAGTGAGCTTCTTTACCTTCTGTTAATAGAGATTTTTATTGTAAACAGAGATGCTTAGAACCAGAAGAGACCTCACGAAACAAATCTGGAGGGGCTCCCTTCAGCTGAGGTCATGATCCCAGCATCCTGGGATCCAGCCCCAGTCACGCTCTCTGCTCTGCGGGGAGCCTGCTTCTCACTCTCCTACTGTCCCTTCCCTCTGCTTGTGTTTTCAGTCTCTCTCAAATAAATAAATAAAATCTCTAAAATTAAAAAAAAAAAACTTAGACAAAAACAAAAACAACTCCTGAGTTGTTCCACATCCTGCCCCAGCTCTGTGTCACGCTGCGGGGACGCCCCCTGCTGGTCCAAGGAGGATCTCCCTGCACCCTTGGCGGGACAGGTGGCGCTGACAGGGCATCAAGGCAGAAGAGGCAGCAGCCTGGGGCCAAGTGGCTTCCTGCCCAGTGCCCACTGGGACTGGCCTCTGGAAGAGAGGCCTGGAGGACACAAAGAACACACAGGGAATATGCCCACCGGGACTGGCCTCTGGAAGGGAGGCCTGGAGGACACAACACACAGGGAATATGGCGCTCACACCAAATCCACGTGTCTCCAGAGGAGGGCAGTGAGGGGAGGAGCGCCTCTGTCTCTGGCTGTGACCCAGTGCCTCCAAGCCCCCCACTAGGCAACTTGCCACATCCAGTTCTCTGTCTCTGCCTGCATGCCCTATCCCTCCCCCTGGGAAAGACTGCCTGATGGGGCGGCCTCAGGGAAGACTCCAGTCCTGGGCAGACAGTGACCCTTGAAGAAGGTTTGAAGTGTCCGTCTCCCATTCAGCTACCTTCCAGCACACCCACCAGGGGGAGAGTCTTGAGACACAGAGCAGACCCCAAACACATCCACTTCCTTCAGGCCTTCCTTGGGTCCTCATGAATCCTTAGTGACTGACTAAGAGCGGCCCCTGCGTCGCCTCCATCTTCAGCTCTGGCCACACTCCAAGCTACTCAGAGCTAAACCACACTCCTTTTTCCTTTGATTTCCGGTAGAGCAAGACACACAATCAGAAAAATGAGCAAAACACAAATGGGCAGCCTAGAAAATTGCTATGAGGTGAGCATACTTATGATCCCATCAGGAGGTAACCTCTCCAGCACCCATGAACCCTCCCCATCACAGCTCCTCCCCTCCAAGTCTCACCAGCCCTGCTCTGGCTTTGGGGAGGCTCTGTCTTTGTTCCGCCATTAAGCCTTCACCACTCAGTTATATGTCCATCACGGCGGTGTCTTGTTTTTGTATTTTATGTGAGTGGAATCCTACAGATAAAAGCTTTGACATCTGGCTCCTTTGGCTCATCATATCTTTGAGATGCGGCTGCATTGCTGGGCTTAGCTGTAGTTTGTTCAAGTTCATTGCTGAAAACCGTTCCATTATATCACAGTTCACGGGTTTTATTTTATTGTAGTTGGACATTTGGTTTGTTCTACCCTCCTAGACAACACATAGACTTCAGGTGGGGGAAGTCCAGACAATGCTGCTAGCAACAGTCTTATTCGTGTTTCCGATGCATGCCTGCACGAGTTTCTCTAGAGTATGAACCCAGGAGTCTGACCTCTGGGTTCCAGGGCATCAGGAACCTTCACTGTCTTCCAGGAATTTTATTGTTCCAGTTTACACTCCCACCAGCTATAAAAGAGAGTTCCACTTTTGCTTCCACATTTTTGCCGACACTTGGTATCATCAGATTCTTTTTCTCATTTTTGTCAACCTGGTGGGTGTATGGCTTTAATGCGCTTTTAGCTAATCACTAAGGAGCTTGAGCATATTTTCATGTGTTTATGAACCATTTTTCATTTGTCTCCTGTGAAGCATATATTCAAATATTTTGCACATTTTTCTATGTGTTGTTCTTTTTTCTTGTTAATTTACACGAATTCTTTACGTAGCCTTGATATTGTCAGTAATGTGTGTTGCACATATCTTCTCCAACTCTATAATTGTTATTTTGCATATGGCGAGAGGTAAGGTTTGCTTTCATTTTTCCCCCCATAGGTTTACCCACTTGTTCCTGCACTGTTTTCTTTTTTTTTTTTTTAAGATTTTATTTATTTATTTGACAGAGAGAGAGAGATCACAAGTAGGCAGAGAGGCAGGTAAAGAGAGGGGGGGAAGCAGGCTTCCTGCTGAGCAGTGATCTCAATTTGGGGCTCGATCCCAGGACCCTGAGACCATGACCTGAGCTGAAGGCAGAGGCTTAACCCACTGAGCCACCCAGGCTCCCTGCACCATTTGTTTCTAATCTGTTCTCCAGCCCCCATCTGTAATGTCACCTGTGCTATGTCCATGTATATGGAGGTCTGCTGTTGGACTCTGTCCATGATGTCTTGATACCTGCTGAATAGAACCTCACTTTATTTTTCTTCTTGGAGAACATCTTGTCTGTTTTGTTCTTTCTCTTTTGAGATGAGTTTTTTCCCCACTTTAAAAAAAATATTTATTTTAGAGAGAGAGAGAAAACAGGGGTAGAGGGAGAGGGAATCTAAGCGGGCTCCTCATGCTGCACGTGGAGCCTGACGCGGGGATCGATTTCATGACCCTGAGATCACGATGTGAGCCAAAATCAACAGTTGGACGCTTAACGGACTGAGCCCCCAAGCGTTCCATCCCACTTTTTTTTTTTTCACATAAGTTTTAGCAATAATTGCACCTGGGATAAACCTCATTCGCCACAATATTATCTCTGCTGCACAAAGCTATTTTCACAC